GTTTTTTCAGTTTCTTTTAATTTTTTCCTGTTTTTCCATTTTTTTCCAGTTCCTTCCAGTTTCTTCCAGTTCTTCCAGTTCCTTCCAGTTTCTTCCAGTTTTTTCCAGTTTCTTCCAGTTTCCAGCTCTTTTTTTCCAGTCCTAAAGAACAGGCCCTTAGTGAGGAAAAGGAGTAAAACCTTTCTCTTTTCTTTTCCTTCCTGATTCCTTGAACCAAGCATTCAAGCATAGTATTAGGGATTAGATTTAGCATTTTGAAAATGTTATCCAACAGGAGTGTTTAGTGTTAATTTGCACCCTTGAAAGATTATCTAAAACGCTAATACTAATCAAAAATATTGTAACTGAACGAAGCCTCATTGCATCTACCAATATTTAAAGGAAAAAAGAATTACAGAGTAAAATACAAGAATAATTTAAGTAAATGCTCTAATATACACATGTTTCTTGTAGGCGAAGAATAATTTTAAGTGTGGCGAAATACCATGTTTCTTGTAGTGATATACATGTATTTGTCCATATACACATGTATTTTAGATATAAAAATTACTAATACTTTAAGAAGTTAATTAGAAAAACAAAATTTGTAAACAAAAATTTGGGGAAAACGGTTACTCAAAAGAATGTGCAAGCGGAACGGATTATAAACGAAATCTGATGTATGATTATCAAATTCATATTCTTTACGAATCAAATGTTCTTAATCAATCGAATACGGATAATACCTACTTTAAGTAGATACATATATTTTTTGTTTAAACATAAACAAATGTGGATGAGAATCGAATTTTGATTATCTATTGGGAATGGCAATGGCAATGGCGATGATGGGGTAGGAAAAGCATCTATCACAATCAATCTGTGGTGCAGGGAGCGGTGCAGATGATGACATTAATTTATTTGGGTTGGCCCAAACATATTAATAATATTTGACACCCAACCCAGCAGCCCATTTAGTCAAGCCCAACCTTTATTCCTAACCTAATTAAGCTTACCTTAATTAGCTCCTAAATCTCTACTATAAATTGAGGCTTCCCCTTTGTGTTTCTTCACCGTGCAAAAAGCCTTCATCTCTTTTGTGAGTCTTCCAGTGGGTTTTTCTCTTGTTCTGTGTGGTCTCTCTGTTCTTCTCCGTTTCTTTGTGAGTGGAGTGTGGCGAGGTTGGGTTGGGGTGTTGCTCCTTTTGGTTCTATAGTAGTGCACAATCGTGAACTGATTTTACGGGTGACCTGAGTCTAATCGAAATAAATAAATACACATAACAGTGGTATCGGAGCCTGGTTTATGTTCCGTATTTATTTATTTTCGTGGTTGTTGTTTTCCACTTTTCGGATCTACTGTTCCTTGTGTTAGTGGACATCATTTTTTTTTAAGAAAAAAAAGGAGGGTCCAGTGGGTTGTTTTTCAAAAGAACAAAAAAAGGAGAGGGACGGTGGTCTGACATCTTGGGCGTCCTTCCTTTTTCCCGTCGTTTTTCTGTCAATTCGTCTGGGTCAGTGACGGAAGAGTGTGACTTCGGACCTGGGATCTATCTTCGTGCGATCATCACCAGCGTCATGAGACGGAAAATGGCAGGCGACCGGCGACCCGCGAGAGAGCTTCAAGAAGCAGACCGTGACGTGCTCCGGCGAGCGCAAAACCTCAGCGGCAGGGACGAGTGGCAGAGCCGGACTCGCACCAATTGCTTCGTGCTATTGAGAGTTAGTATATGGTACAACCGGTTGTACTTATAAAAATAGGTACATCCGGGTAGTACTCATTCTGAAGTAAAGTAGTACTCATTCTCGCACAAACATAACAATTTATTTAAAATAGCGTGGTACTCATTCTGAAATAACATAGTACTCATTTTGAAATACGTAATACTCATTTGCACACATTTGTACAATATTCATTTATTAATAACGTAATAGTCATTCTAAAACCTAGTAATATTCATTCTCAAATAATCTAGTGTTCATTCTTAAACAACATATTATTCATAAAAATCCAAAATCTTACTAACCAAATTGGAATTAGAACATACGGAGTATTTGGAATTAGAGCTTTGCCTACCAGATCTGCGGATCGGAAGAGCTTCTTCATCGCCGATAGATTTCTCAGATCTTCCTCCTTCCTCCCGACAGATTTTGCCCGAAACTGCAGCAGATCTCCTTCTTCATCGCCTCAGATCAATTTCTTCTTCCGCAGCTCTCCTTCGACGCAACTTCCGACCCGACCCGACCCTCCTCTTTTCTCCTCCGATCGACGCATTTTCTTCTTTAATTTACTGGCTGTACCCAATTTTGGGTACAGCCGGTTGTACGGTATAATTTGTGTGCTATTGAAGGTAGAACTCCATTGAAGGAATCAGAAGCTCCGACGTATCCCCGCTACCAGAACTGAATTGCTTCCAGAATTCTTCCATGGAGTTGGTAAGTCGAATCTAGGCATTAGATTCGCCCAGGTACACAACTCTTTATCCCTTTGCTTTCGTAACATTTTTAAGGCTGTTTTTCATTCCGCTGCATTATTTTCGATTGCCTAATTCCAATATAGTTTGTGCTCGTGTGAAAGAACAACGGGATTGAGTAAGCAATTTTTGCTAACATAATAATCTTGGGTTGTTCGTGCGATTGCTTCACACACGTGAGCCAAATTTGGAAAATTTAGGCCAAATCCTACGTGCTTCTGTGTTACTAATTTTTTCAGTTTTTTATTCTCTTTTGTGGGTTTTTTCTCCTTTGTGGTGATCTTTTGATTATTTTTCTCCTTAGTGGATATGTCTACTATGAATCAGTATGCTTTGACTCATTTTAATGGAAAAACTGATTTTAGTATTTGGAAACAAAAATTGAAGTGTGTTCTTGTTCATCAAAAAGTTTATAGGGCTGTTAGTGATTCATATCTAGAAACAGACGCTAAAGAGAAAAGAGTTGAAATGAATGAAATTGCTTGTTCCATAATTTAGTTAAACTTAACTGACTGTGTGATCAGAAAAGTTGGTATTTTGGAATGTGCTAAAGATCTTTGGAATAAACTTGATGAACTTTATACTGAAACTTCTTTGCCAAATAAGATTTTCATGCTTGAAAAATTTTTCAAGTTTAGATTGGATATGTCTAAAGACATAGAAGAAAATCTAGATGTTTTCACCAATCTGATTTCTGATATTAAATTAACCGGTGATAAACATATTGACGACTATACCCCTATTGCTCTTTTGAATGCTATTCCCGATTCCTACAGTGATGTTAAATCTTCAATTAAATATGGTAGGGATAATATTTCTCTTGATGTTGTTGTGAATGGTCTTAAGAGTAAGGAACTAGAGTTGAAAAATTCTAAGAGTGATAAAAATTCTGGGGAGGTTATGCATGTGAGGGGTAGAACTTTAAATAAGTTTCAAAACCATAAACATGCTAACAATGATAACTCAAATGTGAGAAAATTTAACCAGAGAAGGGGTAAGTCTAGATCCAAGTCTAAAACAAGAAAATGCTACAATTGCAATGAATATGGTCACCTTAGTAATAGTTGTTCTAACCCTAAGAAAATTCAGCAAAAAGATCATGCTAATATGGCTAGTGAATCAAACAACTTTCATGATGTGTTAATGATCAAAGATTATGCTTGTTTGAACTCTGTGCTATCAAATTATCTGTGTGAATCTGATTGGCTAGTTGATTCTGGTTGCACCTTTCATATGTCACCATTTAAAAACCTTTTTTCAAACTATCAAGAGATTGATAATGCTATTGTGTCCATGGCTAATGAAAATAAATGCAAAGTTTTTGGAATTGGAGATATGTGTCTTAAATTTAGTTCTGGATCTATTGTGAACTTAAAGAATGTTAGACATGTTCCTGATTTGTCCTATAATTTGCTTTCTTGTGCATCTCTTGAAAATGAAGGTTTTGAGGGAAAATGGGGGAAAGGTGTTATGAAAATCATGAAGGGTTCAATTATTGTTTTCAAAGCTGAAAAGAAAAATAATTTATATGTGTGCAAAGCTGAACCTGTTTGTGAGCATGCTAATTCTGTGGTTGATAATTCTGTTTTATGGCATAAACGGTTGGGTCACATGAGTAATAAAGGACTTGAAATATTGCATAAAAATGGACACTTGGGTAGTGATAAGCTTATGCATGTTCCTTTCTGTGAATCTTGTGTGCTTGGAAAGCAAACCCGCGTTAGTTTTCCTAACCCGAATCCCGTTACTTGGACTAAGTGTTCTGATGTGCTTGAATATTTACATGCCAATGTGTGGGGTCCCGCAAGTGTTTCCAGTCATGGAGGGAACCAATATTTTCTTTCCATAATTGATGATTATTCTAGGAAAGTTTGGGTCTTACTTTTGAAACAAAAATCTGAAGTTTTTGATAAATTTAAAAACTGGAAAGTTTTGATTGAGAACCAAACTGGGAAGAAAATAATAGCACTTAGGACAGATAATGATCTTGAATTTTGCAACAAACAACTTGATAATTTGTGTGTTACTTGGGGTATTAAAAGACACAAAAGTGTTCCTTACACGCCTCAAAAAAATGGGGTTGCTGAGAGGATGAACAGAACTCTTTTAGAGAGGGTGAGGGCTATGTTAGCTACTTCTGGACTTTCTAAAAATTTTTGGGGTGAAGCTGTTTGCACTGCTGCTTATTTGATCAATAGGTCTCCATCTATACCTTTAGGAGGGAATTGCCCAGAAGTTGCTTTCTCAGGTAAACCCTTAGATTTATCAAACCTGCGTGTGTTTGGTTGTACTGGTTATGTGCATCAAATGAATGATAAATTCGAACCAAGATCTAAACTATGTGTTTTCTTGGGATATCCTGACGGGGTAAAGGGTTATAGGTTGTGGGTAAAAGGTGAACTAGGTTTCAAAATTGTGATAAGTAGAAATGTTGTTTTCAATGAAAATAATTTTCCTTGTTTGTCCTTGCCTATTCCCAATGTTGAAAATGTGGCTCCAAATGAGGTGGAGCAATTACCTGTTATCATTCCTACTGATGTGCATGTAGAAACTAATGAACATGTTGATATGAACCATGATTCACACACTAATGAAGATGAGACTATTTCTAATGAGGTGGAGCATGATAGTGTAGAATCACATGTTGAAAATGATTTGCATGACTATCAACTTGCTAGGGATAGAAATAGAAGAACCATTAGCAAACCTGCGAGATATGTTGATGACTGTAATATGTCTGAGTTTGCTTTTCATGTGTTTGAATCCCTTGAGTGTGATGAACCTAAGACTTCTCGTGAAGCATTAGAATCTAAATGTTCTGAAAAATGGGTTAGTGCTATGAAGTGTGAGATGGAATCCCTTCGTGTTAACCAAACGTGAAAACTTGTGCCAAAACTTGAAAATTGTTCTCTTGTGGACTGTAAGTGGTTGTTTAAAATTAAGCAAGAACCTGAAAATGTTAGGTTTAAGGCTAGACTTGTGGCTAAGGGATTTACTCAAAAGGAGGGAATAGATTATGTAGAAATTTTTTCTCATGTTGTCAAGTTCACCACAATTAGAATCATGTTGTCTTTAGTTGCTCAGTATAATTGGGAATTAAAGCAAATAGATGTTACTCCTGCTTTCTTACATGGTGATCTTGATAAAAATATTTATATGCACCAACCTGAAGGATTTGTTGATCCTAAGTTTCCTAATCATGTGTGCTTGTTAAAAAAGGCTTTGTATGGTTTAAAACAATCACCTAGGCAATGGAACATTAAATTTGATAATTGCATGAAAAACTTTGGTTTTAAGAGAAGTAATGCTGATCACTGCTTGTACTTCAAGAACATTTTCTCTATTCCTGTTTTTCTTCTCCTTTATGTGGATGATATGCTAATCATTAGTCCTAGCTTAAAGTCTATTGAGCATGTTCAAAATTATCTTTGCAAAAATTTTGACATGAAAGATTTAGGAGATGCTAGAAAAATGCTTGGCATGAATATTGTTAGGGACAGGAAGAAATCTACTCTTGTTTTAAATCAAAATTCCTACATTGATAAGATTTTGAGTAAATTTTCTATGTCTGATGCTAAACCTGTGGATGTATCTTATTATTAGCACTAGGCATGATATTGCTTATGCTGTTAGTTGTTTGAGTAGATACATGTCTAATCCTGGTATGGCTCATTGGAATGCTCTAAAATAGCTTTTGAGATACTTAAAGTCTACTAAGAATGTTGGTTTAACTTTTTCAAGAAGTGATAAAAGTGTTAAATTGATTGGCTATGTGGATTCTAATTATGCAAACGATAGGGATAATAGAAAATCTACTACTTCCTACGTGTTCACTTTGTGTGGTTCTTGCATTAGTTGGAAATCTCAACTTCAACACATTTTTGCTTTATCTACTACTGAGGCTGAGTATGTTGCAGCCACAGATGCTTTTAAAGAAGCCATTTGGCTTAAAGGTCTTTTATCTGAAATATGCTTGCTTGATAAGAATGTGGTTGTTTTTTCTGATAGTCAATCTGTCATTCAACTATGCAAAAATCCTGTTTTTCATGATAGAACAAAACATATTGATGTTAGGTTTCATTTGATTAGAGACATAGTTGAAAAGGGCATTGTCATGCTGGAGAAAATTCCTACGGAATCTAATCCAGCTGACATGGGTATTAAGTGTTTACCTGTTGAAAAATTTACCTTATGTCAAAAGATTTTAAACCTATCTCTGTGATTGTGTAGTGATCTTTTGTTCTTTTTTGTCTTTGTGACTTTTCCTTTTCTTTTTTGTTTTTTGAACTCGATGACCCAATGGTAGAGTTTGACTCTTCGTGAGTTATTTTTGGCATGCTTTGTGATGTTGCCTAGTCTTCGTGACTTGAGAGTACTTAGTGAACTCTCCACCACTACGTGTGTTCTCATTTGTTGATTACACATTTAGTAGTTATTAGGCTATGATGAGTCTCGCGGTTCCTTGTCAAACTATGTGCACTACTTTGGGCCAAAGGTGGAGATTGTTAATTTATTTGGGTTGGCCCAAACATATTAATAATATTTGACACCCAACCCAGCAGCCCATTTACTCAAGCCCAACCTTTATTCCTAACCTAATTAAGCTTACCTTAATTAGCTCCTAAATCTCTACTATAAATTGAGGCTTTCCCTTTGTGTTTCTTCACCGTGCAAAAATCATTCATCTCTTTTGTGAGTCTTCCAGTGAGTTTTTCTCTTGCTCTGTGTGGTGTCTCTGTTCTTTTCCGTTTCTTTGTGAGTGGAGTGTGGCGAAGTTGGGTTGGGATGTTGCTCCTTTTGGTTCTATAGTAGTGCACAATCGTGAACTGATTTTACGGGTGACCTGAGTCTAATCGAAATAAATAAATACACATAGCAGATGATGTGATGGTGGGAAAACGAACGAAGTCGGCCCTTTTTATAAAAAGAAAGTGAACAGTGTTTGTTTGTAGGAGTATGTCGTAGCCACTGTTAATTGATGTACGCACATGGCCATCGCTCACTATGCGTCAGACATGTCACCATATATCCTCTTCATGCTTTGTTCATCTTTAGTTAGATGAATTTATTTTGATTTAAATAAGTTTTGATCTTATATACAATTTCAATATACAACTAGTTATATTTAAATATGTTTTTAATGAAAGAGCATCCTCAATGTAGAGGGATTCTTGGGACTTTCGTAGACTACCACTTAATTATTTTATTATTTCAGAATACTTCCAAGCTGTTACAAAAAATGTTTCAATTCTCAAATTCTTTAACAACACCACCATTGTAAAATATACTCCGTATTCTTAAATATTTAAACGTTTTTAAACTTTAACAAATTTAATATAAAAAATTTCAAGGTAACACATAAATTAATTAAAACAATTGGTTCTATGTACGTAATTGGTTTTCAAGTTATTTATTTTATTTTGCAGTTACCAAAAATGGTTTTTACTTGTTTGGTTTTATTTTTCCATTACAATATAACGGTTTTATGTTTTTACGAATATCTTTTACAAAAAAATTATAACTATATTTTTTTAAAAAAAATTGTTATTCATTACATAGTTTTGATATTAATTAGATTAATTGGTTGGGAGTTTTGAAAGGGAGTCTAGAAGTTCAAAGACTCTTTCAAAAAATCTTAAGACTAGCTTGTGCTCTCTCAATACACTCCATCGGGATACCCTTATTACATAGAGTAATAGACATAAAAAAATAAATTGGGCTTTTTGTAAAAAGAAAAAAAGAAATGATGCATATATCACTCTATGAAAATTATGGAATATGGACCTTAGAATCACGAAATGATGTATTTTTAATAAAACTAATTAATAAATAAAAACGATCATATTCTTTTGACACTACTCAATAATGTCATATTATGATATAATAGTTCCAGTGATCTGATAGAAAAAATTATAGTTATTACTTCTTACTCTCTTTACAAAATACTAAATGCTACATCTCTTTAGCATTAAGACATTTTGGGATGTGGACAAGGAGTTTAGGGGACTAGGACTATCATTTTCAAATTTTGATCGAAACACCATAACTTTTATTGTTAGAATATAACAACAAATGTTGTTGTCAAAAGGACTAAAGTTGCAGTCTAAAGTTTTGACCTCAAATATAACTAAAATTGCAAGGTACAATTGACGTAAATGGAGAGATGAGTTGAGATCGAGACTGGACAAGGGATTTTATCGGGGGAGTTTAAACAGGTAAAAATCATCAATTTTTCAAACGAATCATCGTAGGTGTCTGAATCGAGACAGTGGCTTCTGTAGCCACTAAAGCCTAGTGGCCCGCTGCAAAATTAAAAGGATCTCAAATTCTCAATTAAACTGTTTTTTATTATATATAATTAGTTGTTATTTAATAAAAATTTGAAATAAAATTCATTATATATTTTGCCATTTTATTTAGCCAATTTCAAAAAAGAAAAAATTGGAGGTGTTGCCCTGGCCCCATCCAATGTTTCCCCTCAACTATCTAAGATCATGTATTTGTCATTGACTAGAAGGAAAAATAAATATATAAAAAATGTAAGCTATAAAGAAGGAAAATAGATTTCCTTATATTTTAATGAAGAAAATGACAGAAATATCTAATAGATTTTAGAATGGGGAAATACAAACAATAGATAAAAAGCTTGTAATACGTATTAATTAGCTCAAATTCAATCCCTTTTTCCCTTGACGGGTGAGGGGGGCTATTTAGGCCCCATTAATTATATTTGTCTGGTTTCTATGATACATTGTCTTCCTAATAACAATTATCTCGTTGACCACGCCAGTCGTCGCCAGGGATATGTTGCCTTCTCATGGCATCTTGGGCTTCTTATTGCTGAGGTTGTGCAGCCTCGGAGGAGTTGACGTCCTAGTTTGGTAAAGGATGCAAAGGGATGCCCAGGGGACGAGTATATATGACGCAACCGAGTGCGACTCGTGGGCCTGGTGTCTCGTCGCCCTCTTTAGGTTGAGGGGATGTTATGGATAGTAGAGTAGGTTATTTAATATTATTATTATTATTATTATTATTATTATTATTATTATTATTATTATTATTATATTGTAATCTAGGTTTTATTAGGTGAGCGAAATTATAAGCTCCTTCGAGGTTTCTTTACGGTTCTTTCCCTCGTCGCTTTTATTGAACCGTCAAGTTAGGTTTATGGTTGGCTAGGGTTTCCTTGTATCCTATAAATAGAGATGTAACCTCATTTAGAATAATCAATCAATAAACAAATCAAACCCTAATTCCCTTCCTCCCTCGGTTCTCCGATTCTCTCCTTCGCCTCAATTCTTCTTCTTCTTCCTCGTCCCATATTCTCAAGAGCTCGAAGACGCTCTGAGTCTTCCCTATCCGATACGAGTTCGTATCATTGGTACCTACTCTACTATCCATAACAGGGGAAGTTCCGGGCTGAGCGCAATCCTCTCAAAATGGATATGATCCGGAGAGGCCCATCTACCTACGCCCAAGAGGCTGAGCCCATATCTCCATCAATTTCACTTTCTTGTTTTTAATTTCGATTTCTAGGAACTAAACTCAATGTAAGGACAACTCTAAGTTTGTATCATTTTCACCGACATACATAGATATTTAACAAGAAAATTATTTATTGACATATAAGTAGGGGTGGGCACAGTACGGTTCGGTCCAATTGAGTTCTTGATTGAACGTGATTGTGACTAGTAGTATATTTTACACCGTTTGAAGTATTATTTTTTGTTCGAAAGTGTTTTGAGTCAATCTAAACAAACTAAGAGTAAGTTCTAAAAACAAAAAACAATTAAAAATGGGACCAAATTTTGCCCAAGCTCAAAATCTTTCTCGTTAGTTCCTGGTTCTGATTTTAAAACTTATCCTGCCAGCCCGGTCCGATGTTATTCCAAAACCTTAAATTTAGGTTCAAAACCTTGTCAACTCCTATCCATAAGTATGCCTAAAAGGTATAAACAAATTTAGAATCGCATATTATTAATTTTCTTGAGCATATAATACTCCCTCCGTCCCAAATTATTTGTCATATTTGCTTTTTCAACTGTCGCGGGAACTTTTGTTTATTTCTACGTTTTCATTGGTTATTTGATAAAATAAAATATTCTTGACACCTCTTATTTCGAAGAACTATTCATGTAGATTTTTGATATGTAATATTTATTTTTTATTTCGTTACCAATATATAAATAGAATGAATTGAAAAAATTTGATATTTTGCTTCGGTAACAGAAATGTGACAAATAATTTGGGACGGAGGGAGTAATAATTCTTGTTATTGCTTTGTCCATGTACTGTGTATTCTCTTCATGTACTACAAAAATTCAGATAGTGGACAAAAAACATTGATGTGTAGCCTTTCCCTCTATCACACAATTGCACATATAAAAGTCAACTGCTGGACTCCGTAATTTGTTCAATCGAGGTTCCCGGCCTATTCCAAATTCCCTAATCCAACGGCACCATAATGAATTAAATTTAATTTTTTAATGTAATTCATTTTAAAATTTGATTCAGAATTAATTAATAAATTTATATATTTATAAATTACATAAAACATTCATCAAATAAGAAAGGACTTAACTACATCATTTGATAAATTATCAACAAATATTTATAGAAATAAAAATGTAATTTAATCATGTAAACAGTAATTGTATTTTTATTGTGAGAGAGGATATAATAATAAATTAATTGTGGTGGCCGGGTGCAAGCAATTTGAAATTATGCATCTATAATTGATGGGCCGCACACATGTAGCACATGGTTCCTAATAATTTTCGAATTATTATATCTTATCCTTTTAAAAAAAGAACTGCATTTAGAGAAAAAAAAATAGACCAATATATACTCCGTATAAAGTAATAAAGGTAGTAGACTTCCACTTTTGATACATATGGAGTACACATTTTTTTTCAATTAATTATATTCATTTTTTTGTGTTATTATTTTAACTACTATCTTCTCCTTCCAGCTTCCGTCTTAGGATTATCAGTCACATTTATTATTATTATTATTATTATTATTATTATTATAATGTTGTTTTTAGTTTTTATTATACGTATACTAATAATCAATATTTTAATTTATACAGCCGGCTCGGTTTGTGGGCTTAAGCATAAAATTCAAGTCCAGCAATAAATTATTCACGTCACCATTTATAAGGTAAGGTCCAATCCCAATCCGTGCCTGGTAATGTCAAGCCCAAACATGTTATTTTGCAGACGGACTTCGACGGTGGATCCGATACTGAATTCGTGGTCGAGTCTACATACCGAATAAGAAATACGGAATACTATTCCTATTTAATAATCTGACATTTACCCTCAATAGAATTAAAACATAAGTCATTTTCAATATAGGACTTAAGCTTTTTTATTTACTAAATAAGAATTAATAAAGACTAGTGAAAAAAATAATGTCCAAATGATGTTAGATATTTAGTTGAATAATGATTAATAAATAATGATCAATGGTCTTACATTAGAAAATAAAAACATACTCCGTATAATTTTATATTGAGAAACTCATTATGTTAAGTCCTATTTAGATAAATTATCTTTTAATTATTTCAAAATATATACTTAATTCGTAATTTAAAGTGACACACATTAAACAAAAAAATCAAACATACAATCTTAAAATTGAGAAAGTAAAAAACATTAAACCAAACACATACTGTATCAACATAATGAACAAAGGTTTAGCTCGCCATTAATTTACAAAACAAGAACTCAAAAAAGTTCTAATAATCGCTACAGTTGGACAAAACACGTACGGAGATTAGTTACTAAACATAATTAATTAATGATTTAATATACTTTCTTGGTAAACAGATTTCGTATATTAAATAAATGACTTCCTCTAACCGCTTCGCCGGAAACTCCGGCGCCACCGCCTTCGCCGTCGTCAGATGCGGCTGCGGCGGAGGCTGACATGGTACTTCGGCCTACGTCACTTCTGCAACTCAGATTGCTTCGGTACCCGATACACATGGGAACGTTCAAGTTGAGCACACGAGCTTTGGGCACACCATTCGTCGCGCCGCCGTGTGCGGCGGCGGAGTTTTTCCGGCGACCGTCGGTTCCTTCTTTTTTCACGGATTTCGAAACGGGAACGTCTTTATTGAGGATCTTTTCGAGTTCGCCTTCCTTTTTGAGAGCCTTCTCGCCGGATTTCGACGGATTCTCGATGCTCCGACCGGCGGATATGCCGCTGCGGCGAACCTGCCAGATCGGGCTGCTCCGGCCCAGATGGACCCTGACTCGGGTCGGGCTTGCGGGCCATTTCCTCGATTTGGATTCGCCTGCGGAGTTACTACGCGAACACGGCGCGCTACTTACCTTCCGATGAGCCAACCCAGATCCGGCACCCACGCGCGGCCGTGCTCCGCCGTTACCCGCCGATCTGCTCCGCGAAAACGGCCAGATGTTTATATTCAGCTCCGCCGCGCTCGCGCCGCTCGCACCCCCACCCAAGCCGCCTCTCTTCTTCTCCTTGACAGTCTCTTCGTTTCCCCCCTTCGAACTCTTCTTCTCGCCCTTCTTGAAAATATCCCTCCACCGTTTCGAACTACCGACCGCCGACGCAGCGGAGGAGCCGCTCACCACCGCAGGGGAAACATCGGGTCCGTCTGACCCGGTTCCCTCCGGCATCTCCGTACGACACACCGACGGGTTTTCACCCGGAGATTCGTCAGGGACCCGGGGGTGGTCATGCGGGACAAGGTCGAGCGGGAGGAGGATGCCATCGGAGAAAAGCTCGTCGGCGGAGAGAAGGTCCGGCTGGGGCAGAGAGGGGTTACGGAGCATCCAAAACTCGAATTCCGGGGAGCTTGAGACGCTGCTTCTTCTTCTTCCACTGCTGCAGTGAGTGAGAGTTCCGGGAACTTGAACATGGATTCCTTCCATTATTGGNGTACTGAGTAAATGTAATAATGGTAGTTGTGTGCACCTTGTGAGCCGTGCACGGAATCTTATCTTTTTTTTCGAAAGAAAAAAGAAAACTTAAAATTAAGGATGAACTTGGGTTTGGGTGTGCTCGAGTGAGAACTAGAACATTTAAGAAGATTAACTATTACTCCCTCCGTCCTACTTTCTTTGTCCACTTACCTTTTGGCACACCATCCAATGTACTTTTTTAATCCATTTTATCTTGTAATTTGTATATTAAAAATTATAGAAATTATATATTAATAATCTATATGTTAAGACAAATCAAACAAGATCACACATGACTATATTTAGGCTTACACATTGAGAGAATTTGATGAGCCAAAGTGCTTAGATGAACAGTTCCAAAAGTCAAAAGTGGACAAAGAGAGTGGGACGGAGGTAGTACGACACAAAAATGAAATGACACATGTTGATGTTATGTATTTAAATGAACAAAAAATAGTCTTGTCAGTAAGTGATATATGAGCGGAATGACGGGGCAAGTTATTATTTATGTTACTTTTTGCCTTTATATGTATTTTAAAAACATTGAGCTTCAAAAATTTTTGAAATGTTTATATACAATACAACATTAAAATGGCCTAAATTAATATTTTAAAAATAAAAACATGAAAATCTTATTTTGATATTTTACCTATATTTTAGGTCTTTTTTAATTACAGATTATTAGTAAAGAATGGAGCATACTCTGATATTTATAGTGCAAAATAAAAACACTTTTAAAGAGAAACAGATCGAGTTTTTAGTTGTCTTGGGTTAATAGGAATACTTCCTCTTTCCTAGTCTTTTTGTCAAATACTTCTTTTTAGACGGTTCAGTGTATTTGTCCATTTTCTTTCATGGGTAAGTATTACTTCCTTCGTTCCTAAATATATCTCACATTCGCTTTTTCAGCAGTCTCGAAAACTTTTGTTTATTTCTATGTTTTTATTGGTTATTTGATAAAATAAAATATTCTTGACAACTCTTATTTCGGAAAACGTTTTTTATATGTAAATTTTATTTTTTATTTCTATATCAATATGTATTTTATTTCAGAAATACTCCGATCCTATTTCTTGTTTCTAGGCTCTAGTTAAGTATTTCCGGTGATGAGTAGCGGGTTCTGGCAAGCCTAAGGCAGGTGCATGTAATCGAAGAACATATCAGCGGCGACGCAAGAGGAGGTGATGCGAGAGTAGGAAGATAGGCTAGGGCGGCGGCTGTGTGAAGGAACAAAATTTAGAAGGGGTGGCATTCATTTTGTGTGGAAGGGCATTATAGTCATTTGCCTTACTATATTCCTTCTCATTGGCTTCTATGTCAAATACAAAGTGGACAAAAAGACGGGGACATTAGGAGTACATATGGCCAAATAATGTTATAATTTTTGTACGAATTACAACAGACCGGGAAGATGAACGGCCCCGGAAAATAAAAATAAATAAAATTCTGAATTTATAACTTATTCAGAATATTACAAAATAAATAAAGTTGAAAATAAATTTCTATATTTTCAAAAGGTCTTGTTGTATGAGGACATTATGCACTGAACAACGAGGACATTATGCACTGGACAGCAAAGACGTTATGCACTGGGCTGCGAGGACATTATGCACTAGGGCAGAATGCAGCGAGACCTTTATGAACTAAACCTACAAAATAAAACACCGTGAAGAACAGCAGAGTCGCCGGAGCTGTCCTTAAGGTAGTAGTGCCCGCCTACCGTACCGGAAAAACGTGGGCACTCTCCTCCCAGGATAAAACCGCTATCGTGTGTGGAGATTGTACGAACCAACCACACACCAACGAACAAGAACAACGTAGGAACGTTGACGACCAAACACTTCAAGGGAGATGACCGGAAAATCAAGAGCTCTCTCTAAATATTAAACAAGAAAGTTTTCTCTTTCTTTTTCCTTTCTTTCTCACGTATGAAGCACACAAGAAAAATGATAGGAGCTTTGATTTTTATAACTAAGGAGTTTAAAAAGTGTAACTCCTACACCATTAACCCTTAGTATTAATCATGGCATTTGTGGCATACTAATGGTGTGTTAATGGTGATTAATTAGCCATTAACACGTCCGTTACGCTACGCTCCGTTTAAAATTTGTCCCGAATAATTGGAGATTAATGGCCAGTAAACTCCGTAAAAATGGACTAATTTTAAAAAATACGTAAAATTAATAAAAGAAGATTGGTTTTGTAAAATTTCAAAAATTGCAATCCTTACCATATTCTTTTATTAACGGGTTAACTCTAAGAATCAATTTTTCATTCACCCTCTATCATTTTTGGCGTATAAATTGTCAAAACATTTATCTCATTTAAGAGAACACACGTCCATTAATTAACGGTTAAAACCGTTAGTGGACCTATTGACAAATATACCCAAGTTGGTTCATTTAATGCCTATTTAAAATGCCAAAAATTCCAACAAATAACACCAATATCCCTCGTGGTTTAGAAAATAGGTTTTAATACTATCCCAATTTTTAATATTTATTTTTAAAGATCTCGTGGTTTTTTGTAATTTTTGATTGTTATTTTAATATTCCAACAAATAACACCAATATCACTAGTGCTCATTTTTGTAATTTTTGATTGTTTTTTGTTTTTTTCCTTTTTTGTTTCTTTTATTAATCAAATTTTTTTTAAATTTCTTTTTAAATTTTATTTTATACGGAGTAATGTTCTTAAAATTTCAATTTTTTTTGGTTAATGAAATTAACATATACTGCATATTTGCGTCTAAATTAATAATTTTTATTTTTTTCTTCTCTAAAATAAAAAATTAAAAACCTATTTTGAGAACTTCAAAAAATGAGAAATAAAATAAAATAAAAAATTAAAAAAAAAATCCTTGTTAGACATCCCAATTCTAAGGATCTTTTTAGACGTGCAAAAATTTCTTTTTGTATAAAATTCTTTACTAGATAATTTAATTTTTTTCATTTTGTTTTTTCATATTCTTATTTTTACTTTTTTATTTTATATTTTCTTTTTGAACTTACCAAAAAAAATTTTTTGAAAACAAAAAAGATAAAATGTTTAATTTGAGATAGATGGTGTATATGTTAATTTTTTTTATTTCAAACACAAAGAATTTGAAATTTTAAAAAAAAATTAAAAGAAATTTAGAAAACTTTTCTAGGAAAGAGAAACAAAGAGATAAAAAAGTCAAAAACAGAAAAAAAAGAAAGTATTAAATAAAAAATAATAAAAGAGCACGTGTGCCCCCTATGGTTTAGAAAATAGGCACCAATGTCTTTTTTTGTCGAAAAGGGACAAATGATATGGATTTTGAAATATAACTGAAAAGCGTCAGGAGATACGAAGTAATAGAAATGAAATAAGACCACAATTATAGCTATTTGGTGAGCAATTCAGAAATCAAATGTAAATGTTGGATAATATTTTATCATAGACGTATTATTTAAGCTTAAAAAGTGATTTATTTAAAATATCAATTTAAAATTATTTAATTCTTGTTAATGGAATTTTTATTTTTATTTTATTTAACAGTACAATTTATTGCAATTAAAATAGTTTATTAGTTTTATTTTATAAAAATCAATTTTAAGAACTGAAATCACAAATAGAAGAAAAAAATGTTTTAGATCACACTCATTTTTACATAGAAAAAGAAAAAAAATAGATCACAAAAAAAATTAGGCGGAAAAATATAGTATGAAAGATAAGACAAATTTTACTTATTTTTGGGTAAATTTTAATCTACGGAGTAGAATATAAGGTCATTTTCCATCATCTCCGATGGAGCCAAAATTTCACCATTTTTTGGCTTTGGGGTGTGATGGAATAAATCAAAATGGATCTCTAAACTGTCTGCACTTCTTTAATTAATGAAGTAGCAGTTAGTCAAGCAATGCAACTTTCGACGTTGAGCCGGGGGTCTCTTTGGAAACAGCCTCTCTACATTCGAGTAGGGGCAAGGTCTGCGCACACACACCCTCCCCAAACCCTACTCTTGTGGGATTTAACTGGGTTGTTGTTGTTGTTGTTGACAAGCTGAAGAGCTAATCGATTTGAAATCGGCAAAAATTGGCAAATTGAATTTGTTATCTCATACGGAGTATATTAAGGGGCTGTTTGGTAACTTCTGAATCGGTAAGTGTTGAACCAGTAAGAGGTCTGAACCATTAAGTGCTGAACCAGTAAGAGGTCTGAACCATTAAGTGTTGAACCAGTAAGAGGTCTGAACCATTAAGAGTTAGTATATTGCTTAACTATTCAGAGACAAATGTCTGATCAATTCAGATAAGAGGTCTTAATCATTCAGACTCTGTATAATACTTAACCATTCAAAGGCAAATCTCTTAACCATTCAGACATCTGAACCATTAAGAGGCTGAAACAAAGAGTCTGAAACAAAGAGTCTGAACCATTAGGTGCTGAACCATTCAGACATCTGAACCATTAAGAGGCTGAAACAAACAGCCCCTAAAACCCGTATCTAGCTTACTCACCAAGCAGACTCTAAGATGTTAAGTAAGATATAACTGTGTTGTTTCAGCTAATTAAAAGTCCTAAATCTTAATTATATTCAAGGACCTTTTTTAAATTAAATAATTTTGTAAGGATGATTATATTTAAATTAAAAAATTGAATGGACCAAAAATAAAATTCACTTATTTTATACGAATATGTTTAACGTATATTTATTTTATCAAACAAGCAATAAGCTAAGAATACATACATGAATTAATAAATATTATCAAGAGATCAAAATAGTAATTGAAAATGATTTTTTTGAAACGGAGAGAAAGTAGTCTATTGGATGCTCGATCGTATTATTGTGCATGGAGTCTTTTTTTTTTATAATTTTATTATGTGATGACACATGGTACTTGTCATTATATCATTGTATTTTATTTTTATCATTATTTATTTGATTTTAATATTTGTACGGGTACGCTAATGCAATGTACTCCAAATAATTATACGAATTCAAGTATTATTATA